ATAAAAATACAAGAGGTTGGCCGACGGCTTCGCCCGCGTCTTATTTAAATAATTTATGCCGCTGGTACCCTTTACCGTAAAATTTTATCCCATAGCGTTTCTACAGTTTAATAGATAATTTTAAGAATAATTATTCCGTCCTGCATTTTTGTGCCAACAAAAGTAGATATATGGGTGCCCCATTGAAGCTTTGCATCTAAGGTCAACCCCAAGAACACAGTAGTCTCTTCTACTTTCAACCTATTTTACCATTAAATGTTTGTAACTACTAATTTAATGACCCTCTGTTTGCATTTGTTTTTTAAATAATTTGCGTTTTGAGGTTGCATCACTTTTTAAATTATCTAATTTAGCTATATGATAGCGTATGATCAAATATTTTTCGACGACCATTCTTATTAGGTTCTCTTGGTGAAGAGAATCACATGCGGGTTCAGTTTCAACTAAAATACAAGTCTTTTTCACGGAAATTTTCAGAACATATCACTGTGGTTTTGGATGGTTTCCAGTACTCTTCTCCACGGGTTTTTCGTATTATATTCACCCATCGACTTCTAATTATAGGATCAATAGATATCCTAAAACCATGTATCCAAATGGTCACATTCAATTTTGACAATTATTATACAATACTATTTAGTAATACAAATAAAAAAAAGAAAAATATTTAAGACTAAATAAAAAACACCCGACTGCGGGGAAGCTTGCAAAACAAAAACAATCGGTCCATCCGTTTAGGCTGTAGGCTCAGCCAAACAATTTTTGAAATATACCCACATACATAATACACATACATACACACACCATGATGTATTTCCTCCTTCTGGTGCAATCGGGTAAAAATGAACATACATCAGCTTTTAAGACAACTATACGGGGAAATTTCTAATCCAAGACTGGCAACACCAAAAATTGACGCGTTGATTTTGTAAATTAAGTTATCAATTTATTAGTTTTGTTTTCCTAAAATACTATTAGTTTTGAGTTACTTACCGATGGTAGGAGATTTTGTTAGTCGTTTGTAAACGTCCTTTATAATTTCTGCAGATTTTAATCGCACAACTTGTCATTTTCAGAAAAATAATTTATCTCTAAAAATGAGCCGGCGTGCGTATCTCTCCGCGTTACAATTGACAATAAGGAGCGGGGATTGCTTTAGAGGCTAATAATTAGCTGATATTTTTTTCGACTTTTTTTCTTCGGATTTGTAAGTAAAAATCAAAATATATGGAATTTTACTCACTTTTTTGAATTTCACTCGCGAACCCGATGAAAGACATGCGTGATAAGTTAAAAACCTTCTACTAACCTCTTTCTTCTTAATCATTCACTTTTCTAAGAATAGGCCACAAATAATCATCCTCTCCAATGGAAATATTTTCGATGAAAGTAGGCTTGCGGAACCTGGAGCACGTATCGCATGCTATTTTCTAGCCGCATATTTTACCTGTCAGAACCAAAACAATCAATGGACTTGGAAAACTACGTATTAACTTAAAACGTCAGAACTGGTCGCACCGAAGAAAGAATTATTAAATTAGAAAATGCTCTTTATGAAATTGAAATTTTCTGGAGCTGGAATAAGAGATAGACAAGTTGCGCTGGGATATTATAGAACTATCTGAGGTCAGTAGGAGGACGAGGACACGGTAATCCTCGAATCAGGATACTTGTTCTATCTCCATTAGAGTGACCATCTGCTTCAATGTAATAAATGCTGCTAACAATGTAATAAAGATTGGAAATGTGTTGACGAGGGTTACGTACCTTATCCTCAGAATCACCAAACGGTATTCGCTGAAGGTCATACAGGATTACGCACCAACCTCGGCACGTACCTATGAGGAGATTCAGGAGATGTAAAAGCCACATATTCCTTCAAAACCCATTATATGGTATAATGGGAGAGACTTCAATGCAAAACTAGGCTCAAGAGAGAACGGTGAGCTGAAGTTAGGGAAATTCGGAGTAGGGTAATGGAACCCAAGCAACCAGCAGCTGGCCAACTTCATGGGAAAAGAAGGACTCTTTATAATAAACTCTTTCATTCAGAAGCGACCCCACAGAAAGTGGACCTGGTCGACGCTTCTCTAAATCTTCGCTTAACTGACGCTTCGATAAAAATGAGATTGACTTCATTATAACTACGGCACTAATGAAAAGCTAAAGATCACTTATTTTATCAATTTTTCTTGTCTTTAATTATCTTAAGGCTTGCCCCGCGCCAATGACCTTTGGAGTGTGGGCAGAACACTTTACCGCTTTCCGCACCACCCACATCTATAAATCGCGTGCACTTTTTCACTACAACATTGCCATTGCGTAGGTACGGTATACATATATCGTGACACGCCAGTATCATAGAGTAGTAATGTTATAGAGATGTCTCCAATGCTTTACTGTAGTAAAAGTTATAATTATATCTACATTACTCTTAAGTGTATTGTATTTATTGTATTTTGATAACTTTTTATAAAACAATAGTTTTAAAATAATTTTGTTATTGCAACTTTTGTGATATGAGTAATTTTGTTTGGAGCCCGTGCCTAAAAAATAAATAATGTTGTAGCATTGTAACCAGTGGTGGTTGTTGTAGGGTTCGTAGAGTGCATCGATTAGTTTTGAACATTATATAAAGATCCACTCGGAGAAAATATATTTACGTTTAAAGATTGGTTGGGTTAGGTATGTTTAGTTGCTTCTAGATGTTGCAAATTCTAAATAAGTCGGACGCCTAAAGAACACTGCTTAAACAAAACCCACAGTGTCTGAATAGGCAGAAGCAAGAAAACACAACTAAGATATAAATACCATTTGGCGCTTTTGAGTAAAAAATACGCAACGTTACGTTGACACGCTTCCGATCCACGTTATTAATGAGAGCCTTGTGGACAATAAATCCGACACCTCCTTGGGACAGATTGTCGCCTCCCGATGAGCGTTGATATATGTAATTCGAGGATTACCGTGTCATCCATCTCTGTTCGGACATCGAAGTTAGGAAGGCTTTGCTGGCCAACTTCTGGTATCTTTTTCTTTGTCACCTCTTACGATACCCACGGGATGATATAGAGCAGTGGATATTCTTACGCCGCCGCTTCACAGGAAAAGTCTGATACAGCTACCGCGGTTTATAAATGAGTGACTAGTTTTGCTAATTTTGACGCGAAAAATCAAAATGATAAGAGTGATTGTTTAAAAAATAATTTAATATACCTTTTGAGTTGTTTGTTGATAGAAGTGTAGAAATTATATTAATAAATATTTACATAGTCTTACAATATTGTAGCAGTTCAAAACCAATATAAACATAGAGTTTGAAGTAAACGTAAACTGGAATATTTAATTTCGTGTAAACTTAATTCCACTGTTTTGCTGAGACGTTACACAAAATTTCTTTATTTTCCTTAAATTTACTTAATAAGTACAACGATTTAAAAATATTTTTTTGTATTGTAAAATATGGGTGTGATTATTTATTATTAGTCATTAAATCATATATTATTTAATGACAGTTAAACGATCGCTGTAAGCAACTACTTTCTCATTTCAACCAACTTAAATCTCGGTGAGCAGCACAGTCTAAAGTATTAATTTAAATGATTTAATGTAAGGGAAAACTTTAATTTTACATTAAATGGATTAGGTTTATTATCGACTTATATAGAAATATTTACTTGGATAAGTATTAATAGTGAATTTGAGAAAACTCCGGCAATGTAAGAGGTTGCTTTGAAAAATCGAAAAATACGTATTCATTTTTCTTATTAATATTTGTATTCATTTATGTTATCTGAAGAGTATTTTCAGTAAGTGTCGAGTCAATCGCACCGTAAAACAAAAAAGTTTGATACGAACCCTATTTCACCCTCTTACGTGTTGAATTTTCAAAGCCACTGTCCAAATTTCGACGTCAAGCGGTTTGGACTGTGCGTTGATAGATTAGCCAGTCACTCAGGACATCCTCTTATATGTACTCGTAGATAGATTAAATTTGATCTAGGGCGAGAAAAACTATTTCTCGCCCTTCATCAGAGTAGCCAAAATATCAGGTATAATTTGTTTAATAATATGATTTCAACAAAATATAGATAATGTTTAATCTCATATGAACAGCATGTGATTTTCTAATTATATTCTTTTTATTTGGGATGCAAGGAGGAATGTATACACTTTTTCTACCACCATTATACAGTGCTTATATATGATAAACTTTGAAGATTGTTAAAATTATATTATGTTGTAATCTATAGTTTGTGTAATTTAACATTTCAGCAAAAACATAGTGGCAGTGTTATCGTCATTGATTAACAATAAGGCTTTCGTATTATATGAATATAATTTTACTTATCCACAAATATTATAAGTGGGCACCAAAAATTTCAAATTATACGTCGAATTTGATGTATTTTTTATCTTGTTAACTATTTAATATTGGATGCACTCACTAGTGTAGTTATTATTTTATCGCCATTCGTTAGAAACTCGCGTTAAGACTGTGCTTAATAAGTTAGTGGCGGGAGCGGACGAGGCAGAGCATAGAACTTGAACCATCGCTTTTGTTTATATGGTTATGTAAAATGATTATGTTTTATATAAACATTATTTTTATATATATTAATAATTGTATGGTATGTATTTCGATTATTCTAAATAGCTAATTTTATGAGTAAAACAGAGAGCATTAAGAATAAAAAAATAAGTTAGCATTTCGGGGCGGTAAACGCGGTCCGATCATAAATATGTATGTACCGCTGTTTGGTAAAAGGCTATATTATACGAGTACGAAAGTAAGAAAGAGATATTTTGGTGACCACTAAGTAATTTTGACGTTCATCTTTACATCTGTTCAATTGAAATTCTTAAATTTGTGAAGTAGGTTGTGTATGTTGTAGCTTTGAGGTCAGTGCACGTTCTGCGAGGGCCGAGGCGTCGTGCGCGGGCCGCGGCGGGGCGGGCCCGCGACATGAGCAGCGCGTGCGCCGCCCGCCCCGCCCGCTATGCAGAGACTGCGCACAACCTTCAAGCGCTCTCGCACTCCTACACCCGCCGACATGAAGACGCAAAGCAGCCTCGAAGTGCCCAAGCAGGTGCCTATTTGTCATTACAATTACTAAGTATCTAGCACTACAAATTTGTTATACTTTTGTCGAGGTTTTCTTAGCAAAATTATATAAATTACGCACTTGGACACACACTTGCACGCCTAACTATGTTTTAATTTATTTTCATTTTTATAAGCCCGTTGAGTTCGCTATTTTTGAGAACTCTTAATAAAACAGAGTAAATACAATTTTATTGAATTTTTGTATTATACCAATTTACCATCTAGTACTTTATCGCCACATCCCACAGAGTTGCTTATAACGAGTAAAAATAAAAGCTTGATAAATGTGAAAATGATCTTCATCACAATTGAAATTTTTTTGTCATTAAAAAAAATTACTTCCACACTAGGATTTTCTCGTGTATCGTGGAGGCGGTTTACAAACATAAATTTCACAAGAAGATACATCTATACCCGAAGCAATTATTTGTAAGCGATACAAATACTTGTTCCGTGCTGGATTCGAACCCACGGCCCTTAGCGCTGCAACTCATTGCTAAGCCACTGCGCCACGGAGCCGTTAATTACTAGAAATGTACTACTAGTCCACTGCTGGACAATTGCTTTCCCCCTTTAGGTTAACACAATGAACGCTCAGTAATAGTAAAATTACTAGAATAGGTATTTAATAGAATAGATGTATTTGCAAATTCATAGAAAAGATGTATTGTCTAGTTCAGTATAGTAGTATATTTATAGTTTAGTTTAACTAGCTGACACACAACTTGTTCTACGAACTGTGGACTGGTTATTTAACAAATACGATTGACCCTCTCCAGTTTCGTTATCACGTCCTAAATAAATAATGGAGTTTTCCCCCTTGTCGTGTAATGAACTGTTTCGGATAGCTCTTTGGTCGAACTTAAGAAATATAATGCGTAAATATAATAAGGGGAACACTGAAAGTTTCGTTCGCTCGTTTTTATTTTTAAGAGGAAAAGTTTGAATAATTTACCAGAAAATATGAATAATACTTTAAAAAAATGTATAGCACTGAGGCAATCTTTTTGAAAAATCAGGCATTCTCAAAAGTTTAAAAACACTTAAAACAGGACGGAGAAATACATTATAAAAAATAATGTCCTCCAGACCGAATTTCGGTCAAGGTAGCCAGACTTAGCGGACTAGCAATTTGCGTGGGACAGGATTAAAGTGCCCGAGTGTATGCACAAATACAAATGCACTATCTATTCCCACACACACTCATTCATTCACACTCGTAGTCAGATAGGACGGAAATCCGATACGTTTGGAGACAGATCAGATGCAGAACCAACAAAAAGTACGTAAAGCCTACTTTGAGTGCCTCGCACGGGGTTGAAATACTGCCAAATTCCCGATTCCGGGCTGCTACTGAGAATGTCTTGACAGAAAAATTCAAGAACTGATTTTGGACTTACCTGGAATTCTAACACGGGACCTCAGCAATCGCGTTTACGACGAACGAACGGGGCAGTCAATGTTTATAACAATATATATAACAAATAACAATGAACGTTATTAATAAATGCTCCTGCATCCTGTACAACATCTCAGAGAGACGAGAAGGGCTGAAATCAAGCTCCTTGTCATAAATATCAACAATGAAATTGGTAATTTATTATTTTAAGTGCTGGTTAACCAAGTGATCGGCTGTCAAGGAAAACATCGTGTCAGGAATAAAAATAATTGAGAACATATCCTCACAGAAAGAGAGAATGCCGGGAGTGGTCCATATAAAGGCTGCAACCTGAAACTTTACTTTTTTTATATGCAGATGTAATTACGTGATAACATGCAGACCGGGAACAGTGCCAAAAAGCTAATACTGCAATCGAGAATGTTGTCCGGCGATTTGTGTAAATTTTCTATTAGTAGTAGACTGTTTATAAACTTATAATAAAATAAAGAGACTACTGTTCTTAGTACAAAAAAAAATGAAAGTTAAAAAGTATTAGAATGCCTATGAATATAATATTAGAATATTAGAATTTACGTGATAGAGCATCGTCTTGGCTATGTTATGGCTGTGGCACGGATGGGTCGGCTCAACCGGGGAAGGACCACGCTCCCGCAGAACACTAGGGTAAAATAGCAGTTTAATGCTGCTGTATTTCGTATAGTGAGTGTAGAGAACACGATACCCTTTCGATACCCTTTTTACTGGAAACGATTCTCAGGGGTGCCGACACTACCCCGGTCGCAACGGTGAGTGGAACCGGCGAGAGATGTCGTGCGGTGTCCCACAAGGTTCGGTTCTGGGGCCGCCCCTGTGGAACATCGGTTACGACTGGGTGCTGCGCGCCGACCTCCCTACCGGCGTCAGCGTAGTTTGCTACGCTGACGACACGCTGGTACTGGCACAGGGGGGGTCGTACGAGGCGGCGGCGGAAAACATGACACGCGGGGTTGCGATAGTCGTTGAGAGGATCCGGCAGCTGGGTCTTGAGGTGGCTCTGCACAAGTCCGAGGCCATGCACTTCCATGGTCCTCGGAACAGGCCACCACCGGGATCCTCAGCGATGGTAGGAGGGGTATCCATCGGCGTCGAGTCGACGTTGAAGTACCTAGGACTCGTCCTCGACGGCCGATGGAACTTCGTTGAGCACTTCCGACGTTTGGCTCCCAAACTGGAACGGACCGGGGCTGCCTTCAGGCGGCTCCTGCCGAACCTGGGGGGGCCAAACGCCTCCTGCCGGAGGCTCTACGCGGGGATTGTGCGGTCCATGGCCCTTTACGGGGCCCCGGTGTGGGCGCGTGGTTTGGCGCGGCTTGCCGTCCACCACCTGAACGCGCCCCAAAAGGTGGTTGCCGTAAGGATGGTTCGCGGCTACCGCACGATCTCCCGCGAGGCAGCGTGCCTCCTTGCCGGATTGCCGCCATGGGATCTGGAGGCGATAGTCCTCGCGCGCCTGCACGAATGGCGCGCGGAGGCACTATGCCGGGGGGAAACCCCGCTGCCGCGGCAAGTTGTCGTGCAGCGGACAGACTTCCGGCACGATCTCATGGCGACATGGAGAGAGCGACTGTCGCAACCCCGTGCTGGGCACGCCACTATAGCGGCGATAAGACCCCTCTTTGAGGAGTGGCTTGAGAGACGCCACGGCGTCCTCACCTTCCGCCTGACGCAGGTCCTCACCGGACACGGTGTGTTCGGGAGGTTCCTGCACCGAATCGGGCGGGAGGAAACGCCCGGGTGCTCCCACTGCGAGGATCGACCGGAGGACACGTTGGAGCACACCGTGGAGGTGTGCCCTGCCTGGGCGGAGCAACGCCGTGTCCTCGTAGCGGCGATAGGCGGCGGCGACCTCTCGCGTCCGGCCCTGGTCGAAGCCATGGTCCGGAGCGAGACGGAATGGGATGCCGTCACCACCTTCTGCGAAGCAGTGATGCTAGCGAAGGAGGTGGCGGAGCGGGAGAAGGAGAGAGCAACAGCTTTCCTTCCCGGCCGCCGCGGGAGACGCCCCGGGCGTCGGGGGCTACGTCGTGCACCTACTACACCGTAGGCGCGGGCCTGTGGACGGCGAGCAATGGGTAGCTCGCCGTCCGCCCGTCTAACGACGACAGGCCGTGTCGACGGCGCGTTTTGTTCCACGTGCGCCTCAAAGAGCTGTCAGCAGCGTGAAGGGGCCCGCAAGGGCCGACGCCTGCCGGGGCTGCGGGCTGTTCGAAAGAGATACCGCGGCTCCGGAACGTAAGGGCACTGAAGGAACACGGATGGTTTTTAGTCAGTAAAAGTCTGACACTCCCTTCCGCTCCACCCAGAGCTAAAGGCGTCATTTGATGATTTTCCATCCGCAAAAAAAAAAAAAAAAAGGGGTGCCGACACATTTGCATTTTGATTCTCAATCGAAGACGCATGTAGATGTATATGGGCCACAGCTATAACTTGCCATCAGGTGGACTGTGTGCTTATTTGTCACCCTTATTCTATAAAACATGTCGGATTTAGACATGCCCATTTAATGGTAATTAAACAAAAGAGTGACTTCCATTAAGTATTATTATAATCTATATTGAATAAAAATGTTTGTTTCTGTTTCTGTTTCTAATGCATTTGTATTTTATCCTGCCTGTTAGTTAATGCATTGTCACTTTTGATACAGGATTTTATACTATCTCGCTGATAAATGCCTATCAATGATAAAATTAACATATTTACCAATCACCTTAAAAAGTAGTTAATAAACTTTAATTTTTGCATTTATATCAGGTTCGGTCTGCCTCGTTCGATGAGATACAACTGGAAGCTGCGCGAGGTTCGGGACCAAGCACTTTACTCTCTGTGCCTCAACATGGAGCCCGCAGTCGGTCTTTCGATTCTGCCGGTTCCGACGACTCTGGCACTTATCTGGAGGTAAGCGTTTGTTAGAATATTTGACGTTAAATAGAATAGTGAAAAATATTTTTGCAGTGTTTTATTAAAATACTTATAAAAAAATAAATACCAAAATAAATATTAAAATACTTATAAAAAAACTATTTTTGTTTATTAAATTACTTTAATTAATACTGAAATCAATAATGCTTACAAGAATTAATAAAGTTATCTATTACAAAATTAACTGCTGACAAATAATAAAAATAATTATTAAAGTAAAATGTATCAAGCTGCTTACCACAGTTGTTTTTGTGAATAATGACTCCATTAATATTTATTTTAAAGTACCCAATAAACCTGAAATTTATATTTGATAAATTAAGAACGGTAAATTAATTAAAAACTGACAGAGTGTAAACGTGCTATATCATCTGTTTAAAGTTCTTTTAATTATATAGTACATATTGCAACGTAATTATATTGAATCGATAGAAACAACAATAACTTTCCTTTTTACTTTAGGTACCTCGTCTTTGGTCAAGACGGAGATCGGGAAAAGGCACACCACCACCATGTGTACATTGCCGTCATATGGAGACATGGCTCGCTCGACAAAGCGAAGAACGGGTCACACCTGAACGACCAGCAGTCTCTTCTTCAGCAGAAGACGATGATGAGGATGATGAGAGTGAAATAGACGCTCCACTGGTTTTATTAACACCAGCCCCACCACTCAGTACTCTTTTACCGCCACCACCTCAGTCACCGCCGCCGTCACTGGGAGCACCGTCATTCGAACTACAACCGCCATGCGATGAACCACTCATCCAACCACAAAGACGGAGATCAATATCAAGACAAGAGGCTTTCTTTGTCGAGCCAACGGGAAGTTCCCTAGAAAATGTTCGCGCTTCAGAACAAGATGCGAACGGCTCAGCGAGGGACATCATTGTTCACGATATATATTTAGCAGTTCCTGAATTAAAGCGTGATCGTGCCGCGTCTGTCGATTCCTCTTTCTCTAAAGTGTCAGGTGGTGCGAGAGCTGAAGAAATTAGTGGTGCCGGTGATTCGTTAACAGTGCCTGGAACTGGGCTACGTTCAAGATCTGTAGACATCGTATTACCAACTGCTGAACAATGTCGGTATAAGGCACTTTCGTTGACGGCATCACAAACGCCACTGCAACATCAAGGTCCTGCAGAAGCCATTCCAACTGCCCTACAGTCTCTCGACGAAAGGTTAGTGGTATTAAAATAAAGAAATTAATACACGTGACATTTTTCTTTTATTTAAGAAGTTTAAATAAGGCTAGCTAGTATCGAAATAATTAAAACATATTAAATATTGTTATTACAGTAGTTTACAAATCGCACGTATCAGGAAATTGATATCATTTACGTCCACATTTTTCAATATTATCATTATTCCAAGATTACATATATATGTATATATATATATATATGGATATTATTAGTCATTGTAACTCATGGGCTAAGCGCTCGCTGTAAATTTTAGGTACAGTACGCGAGAAATCCTGGTTCAATCCCCACCGGCATGAACGAAATTGTAAATTGCAATTATATTTACCACGTGCTCGGCAGTGAAGGAAAATATCGTAAGAAAACCTGCATGTCTGAGAAATAAGTAAATAAAATTTCGAACACATGTAAAGTTCGCCAATACGGATTGCGGCAGCGCAGCGGACATTTCCTTGTTCTAAAACCCTCTCAGAAACGAGAAGAGGCCTGTGCCCAGCTGTGAGATGTATATAGACTGTAAATCTAACTAATAACTAATATATATATATATATATATACAACATGTAACAAAAACCCTGTGGTTCCCGTTAAGTACGTTATCAGGATCAGTATTCAAACCTATAGAAATAACTTTTGTTTTAAAACGACCATTTTTTTTTGTATTAAAATATTTTAATTTTATGTGGTTTTATTACCTCTTACTGACACTAGCCGACGCTAAAGCTAAGTAAAGCGGGGTCTTTGACAATCCTCTAACTACCCAGACGATGCAGAGGTAATAAAACCTAAAAAATAAAAAATAGTGTTCGATTTAAAAAAAAAAGTTATTTCTATACGTTTGAATAATGATCCTGATAACGTACTTAACGGGAACCACAGGGTTTTTGTTACATATTGTATATATATTAGATTTATATATTATTTATATATGTAGAAGTAATGGTGACGAACGAGCATAGAGTCCTAGCGATGGCAAGAGGATGTTGTGACTCTCGTGAATAATTATCAACCGACTTAAAAAAAGGAGGAGGTTCTCAATTCAACTATATTTTTTTGTGTGTTACCTCAGAATTTTTTTCTAGGTGAACCGATTTTGATGATAGTTTTATTTGAAAGTAGTGCTTCTCATGTGGTCCCATATAAATTTGATAAGGATCTGACCAATAGTTTTTGAGTTATCTTTAAGAATGCTTATTTAATTGACTTTGACTACATTGATGTAGTATCTTTTTATTTATATTGAAGTCAGTTGTACAAAATTTTTAATTTTACCACTTGTACGCTGGTATATTGTGCTATCGAGGTAATTTTCCGTTCCAACCGATTCATTCGCGCTGCCGCCATAATACGCTACATCATAAATCTGCCACGTAAAATTAATTTTATCTTTAGATTCTTAAAAAATTGATGGAATATTTAAAAAAAATAACCTTAATTATTCTTAAACAGTAAAAGTTCCCAAATAGAAAGTTGAGTAACGTTTTTAATATTTAATACTAATAATTATTACCATATAGTAATCGAAGTAAGTGAAATAACGAAAATAAATTATCGAGATGAACCAGGATTTATGTAAAAAGCAATTTCGTGGTATGCGAAAGTTCGCATAGGCACGAAACGATCTATTAAACAAAGCATTCACGTATGAAATGACATATCAAGAAATAAAAAAGTGCACGTAATCTATACTCGCGGTTGAAGTACAACTTATAGATATTAACAATTATTTTTGTTGGACACTTATTTTTATTGGTATTATTTATTTATAATTAATTATTAAATATTCAAAAAATAATCTTCTTATTAACATTTAATTTTTGTTGTTCTTATTAAAATTCAATATTAATTAATTATAAATGTAAAATATCTCAAAATTGTATATAACATATATTATTCTCACGAAATGATAATAAGAAGAAGATAACAAAGTTGTTGTCAGTTAATGCCTTTGTATTATATACGGAAAGGCGTAAACGGAATATAATTTAATATTTTACTGAAAACTCCGACCGAAAAAGATCTGAGTTATCCTCAAATAATGCCTCAAGCTTCACATCAATAAAATAATAATTTGCTTTCTAAAATTATTCGTTGCGTAGGTGCTAGAAAATATATTACTTCCCTAAAACCGCAGTTGACATGTTTTTGCGGCGTAAAAGGATTCCATTAATATTTTCTCCCGTGGGTGTCGTAAGTATTGACAAAGTAGACGAAATGCCATGAAAAAGATTCTAGTTGTAAAATTAGATATTAGGTATTGTGTGTGCACGTTCGTGAGTGTGTGCGTTTGTTTGTGATTTTTTATAGGAGAGGGGGTAAACAAGCATGCGGCTCACCTGATGGTAACTTACTACCTCTGCCCATGAACCACTGCACTTCACGAAAACTCCTTTAAAGTTTTGTATATTTTATCCTTTTGGTTTTAATATATCTAAACTTTATATCTCAACATTTCTTCACTTTTTTGTCAATATTAAAGGACTTAGAAAAGGATAATTTAAGGGTACTGATTCCATTTACGTTAAAATTTTTAATAGTATACATTGATTCAGCACAAATCAAGTCGTTATGGGGTCGTCTTCATTCACTTCTTCTGGTACGTGGGTCACTAAAAAGTTTAGCAAAACTAAAAAAGCTTTTAGACTTAAATATCTATTTATTACTATTTAAACTTTTCTTTAAAGCTTTTAGAATTAAATATCTCTAAAGAACCTCTCAAAAAAACCTGAACCAATGATGATGAAAATCTATCTGAACCAATTTTTGAAACACTTTTTCAGTGCGAATCAGACAAACATTTTACGGCCTACTCGACCGCTACTAGAGATAGAAAACTGTAGCTACTTTAGCTGATTTATTTAATTTTAAAGAACGAAAAGAACTAAAAAAGTCTTCACGCGAATATGTTCTCGACGCAAAACCATTTTCAAAGAAATATATAATTTAAATATTCAAATTTAACTTGTAAAAACTTGGTGGAAAATTTGAAATTAGAACATTTGTATATTCACTTGTAAGTAATCTTATTTGAAAAACAAATTATGATTGGTCATTGTCTTTGGTCAAAACTTTTTCCGCAAAACTTTCTGCATGTACGAGTATTTCAAAGCGTTGTAGAGTTACTTAACTTAAAGTCGACAATCAGCTTCTTTCTTAGAAAATAAACGATAATTTTTTCCTCCGTTCCAGCAATTCCTTCCTTATGAATACTTTTAGAATTTAATATTTTGAAGTTATACTTCTTTTGGGGCGTTTGGGAAAATTATGAGAGTAAATTTTTACGATGCGTACGCACACACGACACCTAAAAACGACACCATGAAATTGTTACGAAGCGCGCGCACACTGACACCTAAAAGCGACAACTTCAGTGGGTAATTGTCTCTCAAGTTTTTTTCTTTTCTTTCGCTAAAGAAGTATAACTTCCTACGTGCGTACATAAGTACACTCATTTTTTTATTATAATATGTGTCACACATAAAAATACAATATATATTTAATATCACAACAAAAAAACAAATCTAAAAACTAATAATGAAATACAATATCTCCAAATGTACCAAATTTTTCATCTGTCAATATTTATTCAAAATATTCAAAAGTAAAAAGAAGTGTTAGCTCATATGAGACGAGTTTGATAAACACAAATACATAAATTCATATAAATTCTTATTACACACTGACAGTGTCGTGGCAAGTTTTGGATGCAGTCGAAAGCTCTCAATTGTATAGAAAATATTATTGACTTATTTCAAAGTCCATTGGGTCATACTCGTAAATATGTAACCAGAGCTTAAAATAATTTGAATGTGTTACTTTTAGTAGTGTCTTGGTCAATCTTCCATTGTAATTAAAGTTTGAACATTTCATAATATATGTACAAATGAGATGTCTATTTGACTGTAAAAGTATGACGCCATTACACCATATTTCATATAATTTCTATTCAAATGTTTGTTCTGATAATTCTGAAACAGTTCTCCAAATGAATAGTTTCGAATAATTAATTGTTATTACATTTACATTAGAGGAATTTTTATACTCGGACTCGTACATCATGCACAATGAAAAGTGCTTTTGCGATAAGGGAGTTTTGTTGTGAGGTACAATACAACTAGTGAGTTTTTGATTTATCGGAGTGATAGTTACTTCTCACTTAATTAACTCTCAGTGGCACCGTTCCGTGTCAGCGATGACAATATATTATTTAAGCACAAAAAGTAAAGTATCTTACTTTATTTAAGAATATTGGAACGAAGTTCCTTATCGGACGGTACGAATTTGGCGGATGGGGGCTAGGCGAGCAAAAGTGTAAATTTTTTCCGTTACGACCCCTTCTGACGTAGTGTAGACGGCCTTGGCGGCTATAAGGAAGCGAGATAGAATAATATCCATCTCCCTCGCACTTTTTCTTATCTTGCCATGAAAGAAATAGAATTTAATTTTAAATGACGCTTCATTTTAGTAATTCATTTATTTGTATTTGTTTGTATTTTTAGTAATTCATTTATTTGTATTTGTTAATCAATAATATAATACGTTTATCAATAATAATATACTACGAAAGGAACTTAGTTCCAACCGAGTGTTCCACGACACTCCTGAAGTCCGTTTTTACTGGAAAAGAGGCATTCCATCTTAGTCCTCACGAGTGAAAACGCATCTGCATTTTGATTCATAATCGAGGATAGATGCAGATGTCTATGGGCCACAGCAACCACTTACCATCAGGTGGACTGTGTGCTCATTTGTCACCCTTATCCTATAAAAAAATCACTCACGCATATTTCTTATGTGTTTTGGATATATTTTGCAGGGTCCTATACTTAACCTTTAAGCATTTCATAGACAAATGAAGTTTGACCAAACAATCCCTAAGCCATAGTCTAATAAAATTTAATAAAAGTTATAATCACGCAACAAGTATAAATCTTACTAATACTTGTTACGTGGAAGATCGGATACCGTGATCCCACAGCGCCACAGCATAATGCTTAG